ACCTCTTAATGGTAGTCATGAAGATTCCGTGGTTCTGATACAACGTGTGAGAAGTGCGACTGATTTGCTCTATAGGCTTCCTAGGTAACGTAAGATAAGAAGCGCTTACAGCAAGAAAGAAACGGACCAGTGCACTTCAATCAAGACATCTCGTTGGTCGATAACTGCCGCAGCGCTGGTGAGCAAGATACGGTCAAAGAGCGTAAGGGCTATCCATCGGAACGGTGCAGCCATAGAAAATCTCGATTTAGTGGGGTCGGTACCGTGCTCACCACCTCCGTTGGCCCATTCACATCGGGATCTTCGCATCCCAATCTGTATGGGCCAACAGAGGTGCCTTAGGGAAATCCACTAAAATGCATTTAGCGGGCATACGAATAGCGTTTTTTGAAGTATTCCTCCTGTAGTTTCCATCACTTTTGCCAGATGAGTCATTATAATTCTTGCTGCAGCTATTCATGAGGATTTTAGTGCTTGGTAAAACACGAATGATTCCAATATTTATTGCAGAAAAACTGGAATATGGTAACAATCTCAGCAGCAGCCTTGATTTTGTGAATATTTCATGGAAAGCGCTGCCAGCGCGTATGGAGACAGACGGGAGGGCAGAAGAACAGACGATCGACAGAAACACCGACAGACAGTTACACCTTCGGTCAAAAGTATTTGCCAAAACACTTCCGCGCATAACTTTCTCGTCATCGAAACATTCGTACTAAATCGGTACGCAAAAGGTTATCAAAGGTTTGAGGATTTTGGTCAATGCAATCGCGCAGAGGTCCTTTGTTCTGATCGGAAGATTGTCCTAAAGAAGAAGATTTGTGAACCTGGTCAACCTACCTTAACCTTAAAGGCAGTTCCCGTGATCAAGCAATTTGCGAAATGCCTCCGCGTATTTGGCATTTGCATCCGCACTCGCACAGAGTGTACCACTTTCGTCATCTGAAACAGCGAGATAAAGAGCTCACAGATGCGTGACTACTGCAATCTCTATTATTATCACTCTGCAAGACAACGACTTACACATGTGTTCATTGTATTGCCTGGAGCGTCGTAAGGCGATTTCATACACTAGTCGACTCTTTTGCTCTGGTTGTTTTCCATTCTCTAATTACTAAGTACACTCGAATAGTTCGCCGCTGTTAACTGCTGTTTGGAAGTGCATTACGCACAGATGACGATGACTTTGAACTGATCATTCAGCATCAGCCTCCCTCTCCCGGACTCCAAGACAACCCTTCTCAAACTAGAAGAAAACTAGAAGACCAATTTCACCTACCTTCTTACCTCATCTTGCAATAAAAAACATCTCGACCACGGTATATATGCAGCAGCGGGGCTATGAGACGGTAGCAAAACCAAAATTCCTATACCCTTCCATACTAATCAGGATCCCCCCCCCCTAAGCTACCGAGATGAATGCCTCCCACTCGCCCTCTCCCTCCGCTTCCCCCATACAGTTTACTGTGCACATCTGTGAAGTCTATGCAATAGCTCAAGCTTCGTTTATAATTGATCAGAGTTGTTGGTTTTTTTGTGAGCCTCACGTTTCACCTAGGTGAAACCTGCAGGTTGGCAAACAAACTGCATTCAGATGCCATGCCGCCAAGAATGGAAGTTGAGTGTGTGGCGCGTCCCGGGATCTAACCAATCAATGAGTCGACCATTTTTTGGGCTGGTACAGGTGGCTTGGTCTGAAGGATGGGATGGGGATTCTAGAGAGAGGCTGATTTGACGCGACGTCTATCAGCTTCCCACAAATTGTTGAACAGGGAAAGTGCCAGCCGTTGGTGGTAAACGGGGTGACCTGGGCCAAAGTCCGCCCCCGTCACACGCCCCAGTAGGGAACAAGTCAGTAAGAACCACAGGGCAAACATCCCACAACGGGGAGGTCTGGCCTAGAGCAATGCGAGACCGTTGGCACGACCTGTATGCACTTCAGTTCCAGCCCAGT